CTCTCCTCCACTAATGTGTTCTCTGTGCTGGAATGTTAAGGGTTGGCTCTGCATACATAATTGATTAAGAGTGATTTGGGCTGCTTCGTATGTGTGTGTGTGTGTGTGTGTGTGTGTGTGTGTGTTTCCCTGAAGTGGGAAATAATGGCTGGAGACACCATCCATCAGACCACACAACATCACACACCTGTGTACAACTACATGATCTGTTCTTGTCTCATATACATAATCTCATATATGGAAACACTTTTCTTGAAGCCTGCATTTGTAATGCATCATAATAGTATTATTTATGCGCTGTGATTTTTATATATAACACATTGTATTGCATTACATGTTTTGGAATCGTATAAAAACCCATTAATGTTTATGCTTTTAAAGAGTGTTATGACTTGTTAAATGTATAATATAATATAAATAACATGAGACATCAGATTGAATGTTGATCTTAATGCATTATACTCTTTAAAGCTGTAACTATGAATAGGAAAATATTGTAATACATTATAGCTCTGGTTACCATGTTTCACTGGTACAGTGAATAACCAAATGAAGCATAATGAATGGCCCACGGAGGGCATTTCTGCCCTTTAGAGCCATTTTTACATAACATTAGTTATGCACATAATGCCACGAGTCGCAAATTCTGTTGAACTATCAGAATTTTTGCAATGCAATTCATCTTCATGGTGACAAAATGAAATATTTTCTCATCAATTATTAAAGCATGCATTGTGACATGCAAAAAATGCACAAATTAGTTGTTGTTGCCCGTAGCCTACATATCTAAACTTGTTTACAAGTTTTGTGAGCTACGAACTGTAGCATGAAATGCAAACGAATGAATGATCTTAGGACAATGAGCTCAGATATATGAGAATGTTGATGATTTGAACAATAATATATGTATTATTGTTTGTAAAACATGGTGCAAGCGTTTGCCAACATGGGGTTGATTCCAAAGGAATTTAAGGCTTGATCAAATGAATGTCTGCTTTGGATGAAAGTTTCTTCTGAATGCATCAATGTAAGAGGTTAACATAAATAACCAGATACGTTTTGCCTTAAGGTTATAGATTCAAGCGACATCCCGACCTGAAATTCTCTGTAGAAATTAAACATGAAGTGCCTTAATGGGACTTAAACTCTGTAGTTGATGACTAAACTGATCCATTTATCCAGAGTTTAATTTTATAAACATACTTCACTGATTAAGATAAAGTTCTCATTACAAGCTTTATTTTTTTATTCATATCCATCTTATTCAGTGATTTCTCTGGCAACACTGTCTGTTTGTTTTTCCATCTATGACGGTCTTGTCGACGGCGACTGCTGCCTAAATATTTAACTTGGCTGGGGTTGGTGGCCTGGGATGTTTGCCATTTTTGTTGCTCGGTTCATTTTTAGAATAATAATGATACATTTGCCCACCACAGATAAGAAACAATGGAGCCTGTGTGGCAGAACGGGGCATATATGTGCGGCGCAGCAGCTTCTCTGATGCTAATGAAATGGGCCTTTGCCCAGATTCCACACTGTGCCTTTTTCTTCTCAGAGGATTTGGGGATTTTGCTTGGATGTCCTTGCGGTTCTGGGACCGATCTTGGAATTCTGGCTAACATTTCCTCATTCCTCCAAGCGTTGTCCTTAGATCCCCTTCAGGTGGTCACAGAGTTGAAGTTGGAGGAGCCGTGCTTGTCAGGAGGTGAAGTTCCCATGAGTTGGGCTTCTTGAAAGATCAACCAAAGTTCTCCGATGTGGAAGCATTCAGGGAAAGTGGTCCAAAGCAAACCCCACCTGCTGAGCTCTGCTTTGGGAAGCAGGAGGCTGAGGAACGGTCATCCAAACCCACGCAGGTCTTCAAAACAGCACACTATCATGCGTACATAACTAGCACTTACTCATACCAGTGCAAACAAGAAGATTGATTGAGGTGCGATTTAAAGAGAGTTACCGTTAAACTGGTCAATGGCTTTTATTGTGTCCTTCACCAACTTCAAACCATGAGGTCAGTCGAATCCGAAGTTGAATTCTGTTGCCTATTGCAAGTGGTTGTTTGTTTTGGTTTATTGTGGTCCTCGTCTTGGAAGCGTATGGTTACACTTATCCATCTGATGACATCCCACCTCTAAAAATCTATACGGTTGTCTTATATGGCACAAACTGTTTCTTTACATTGCTTAATAATCAATTGAATTCAAAAGTTGAATTCTGTTGCCTATTGCAAAGGGTTGTTTGTTTTGGTTTATTGTTGCCCTCGTTTTGGTAGCATCTGGTTCCACTTACCCATCTGACGACATCCCACCTCTAGATCTCTATATGATTGTCTTATATTCATGGCGCAAGATATTTCTTTTTATTCCTCTGTTATCTTAATGTATTCAGCTCCAAAACTCAGTGTTGGCACTTCATCACAAAAGCCATGTCATCCTACATCACCTCAGAGACACACAAAATGCCGTTTTGACTGCTGGAAGATGTCAGAAAGTCAAAAAAAGTTCCGCGTCGGGGAGGCAAGAGGTCAGAGTCATTTTGGAGGTGATTGCAGTTGAAGTCTGGAAAAATTCCTGTCTAATTTGACATCACTAAACTGTTATTATATTGGCCTCGATAAAACCTTTTTGCGGTTGAAATAATTTTCAATTTCCAGCGAGGTTTTGCCTTGTTGAAAGGCCGATATTACAGCACGACAGATCCATTTTTGGTAGGGCAGTGGGTCACCGTCTAGATGATTTACGATTATAGTCCGGCTTCGTTTATCATCTCCATATGGTTTTTCACCCAATTGTTTGTTGAACAACAACTACCAAGGGCCTCTTTCTTGATGCTGTTGAGCGGTCGTGTTGTTATCCGTCTTCGAGAAGGAGTATTAATAGCTTTTAAATGCTTCCAACATTCTTGGCGTCTGTCCTTCAGAGTGGAAAGTCTTCTCGACAATTAGATCTGCTCCTGGGGGCTTTAGCAGCTGTCACCGGATCAGTTCAGAGACCGCTGCTTCTCCGCTGAAAGGCATGTCAGCTAATTTGTTTATGGAAATAACTTCAGGCTTCAATAATCCTGAGCTTTTGTCCTATAGGTATCAGCATTCCAAGCAGTATAACTCACTCTTTGACTATTGTTGTGGGTGCTTTGTTAAGCCAATAACTTTTTTTGCTGCTTCTGATTGTGTTCCTCCCTTATTCTAGCTGAGCTGGATGGGGAAAAACAACGTTAAAATGGTTGATTTGATTATTTTAGCCAGTCTTCTGTGCCTTGTAATCGAGCAGATGTTGTAGCGGTGGACGAGATGGTTATAACATTTACTGTGCATCTGTAGGTGTTTGTGGGCCTGTTAGTTGTTTGTTATGGGATTTATTAGGATTGAACGTCTAGTCATTTCAATCTAGTCATTTCAAATGGATGCACAGGGTGCTGTGCTAAGTGATATGAGGTACCGTAATAGCAGGTGCATCCAATGGTTGTGGCAATATTTTGATTCTTATTGGTATATTCAATACTTAATATAGTCATGCATCCCAGCAGATGATGATTCACCTTAATGGATGAAAGTAAATGCATGTGAAACTAAAAATGTGATGGACAGAGTTTTTATCATCACCCTGGTGTCATTAATTAATTTCAGTACTCCTGAAGTGTTTCTTCTTCTTAAAAATGTTAATGTATTTTTTTTTTTTTTTACAAATATTTTACACATTTGTTTATGTTTTCATTTATATAACAATATGTATTTTTATCTTTTTAAGATTTATTTTTTTTAGATAGATCTTTTTTAGATAGGAAAAAAATTTAATAATAATTAAGCAAGAGGGCGTGCTGTATCGTGAAAAAATCACGGCCGAAGGGCGTTGATACAGTACCGCCTCGAGTACCTTATTGCTTTTATAAAACTGTTACCACACAATAAAAAATATTATAACCAAAAATGTATGTATTGAAATGTTACTTTTTTGAAGCAAGTTCGTTAAATGCTGTCCTTCCGCTAAAAAATAGTTCCTGACAGCAATAGTAAACGGAAAGAGAATGTTCTGAACATGCCTCATCTAATGGAGCTTAAATAAAATCAGAGAATCGGAAAGAGAATATTTTAACACCATATATGATATTTTCTCACACACATACATTTGCTTATCTCTCAGCATAAAAAAACGTCTGTTTTCCGTATTTAGTTAGAAAACAGACCGGTTCGCGCCACAGCGCGAGTTTGCAAGCGTCATTACAGTGTAAACTGATGGACATACAGAATCATACCTGAAACCGAAAACGAAATACAGTAATATTCCTTCCTCACTTCGGAAACTGTAGGCTTCCACACAGACGCGCGCACACATCAACATATCTCCCGAAGGGCGGGGTCTCAAAATTAAAGATGAAAGATGCAATATAACGCCAGCAAGGGGTCACTCATACTTCATCAAATAAATAACAAACAGTTAATTCTGCCGAAATACATAATAAATGAAACAGTTTTGATGCTATATCATTGATTGCTTATGTTGCTAAGGGTGTTGCTCAGTGATGCACAGAACCGTTGGGTGAAGCCGTCATAGCCGTGCTGTGTCGTGAATAAAACACAGCTGCTGACCAATCAGAATCGAGGAATGGAACTAACTGTTTTATAATAATTAATATATTGATTTAATGTAATGATTAATGACTACTAAAAATTCAGCTTTGCATCACAGGAATAAATTACATTTTAAAACATTAAAATAGAAAACAATTATTTTAAATTGAAATAATATTGGACAGTATTATTGTTTTTACTGTATTTTGATCAAATAAATGCAGCATTGGTGAGCAGAAGAGACTTCTTTCAAAACATTAAAAAGTCTTAATTATTCCAAACTTTGTGTTTTCTGTATGATGTTACGTTTGTAATTAAAACATTTTAAATGTCATGTAAGGGATTTTGTCAGAGTACTCTACCACAAATGAATTTAAAATGCCAATTCCTAAGTTAATCTCTTTCCTCTTGTCTGTGTGTGTGTGTGTGTGTCCAGGGCGTATTCTGGACCTGAAGACTGGGACGGTGAAGAAGGAAGGACAGCAGTCCTCTATGAGAATGTGTATGGGCTCGAGACGTTCCTTCATCTGCAGAATGAGGTAGAGTTTATGCTCTCCATGAGCTCACAGATCTCATGATCATAATAAAATGTCCCTATTATGCCATTTTTAAGGTTCCTAATATTGTTTTGGGAGTCTCCTACAATAGGTTTACATGCATGCAAGGTCAAAAAACGCCTTTGTTTTCTTAATATATGTATTTAATATCACCTCATTTTCCATCGATTCTCAAACGATTCATTCGAAGCAGTTCTAAGATTCGGTCTCTCTAAACCCCTCCTTTCTGTGAGCCTGCTGTGCTCTGATTGGTCAGATGGCTCAGTCAGTTGTGATTGGTCTACTGCATACAGCGTGTGTCAGAAATGATACGCCCGTTGCCATAGTTTTGTATTTTTGAACGCTCAGTATAAAATATGAACTTCTATTATTTATCATACATACAGGTTGTGATTTAGTGGAGCCAGCTGGTCCAAATAAACTGGGTACTGAGCTCATCTTTCAACAGCAAGTGTTTTGTGAATCCCGTGTTGAACTCCACGAGATTAGAGAAGCAGTCGTCAGTAAAATGATGGGAACACAAAAAAGTTTGGGGTTGTACAATAAAAGAAATTTACGGGGGAAGTCGTGGCCTAATGGTTAGAGAGTCGGACTCGTAACTCAAAGGTTGTGAGTTCGAGTCTCGTCCCGGCAGGGATTGTGTGTGGGGGGAGTGAATATACAGCGCTCTCTTCCACCTTCAAGACCACGACTGAGCCCAACTGTTCCCCGGGCGCCACAGCAAAAATGGCTGCCCACTGCTCCGGGTGTGTGTTCACGGTGTGTGTGTGTGTTCACTGCTGTGTGTGTGCACTTTGGATGGGTTAAATGCAGAGCACTAATTCCGAGTATGGGTCACCATACTTGGCCACATGTCACGTCACTTTTTATTTTTATTTTTAGAAATGAACCACAAACCATCCTCATCGTCCATTTTCTAGATATTAGGATGCCACTTTGTTTGTTTAAAAAGGTTATTATTGTGGAACATTCACTACTTATAAATAAATTCACACCTATATGTTTATTTTGCCACTACTTAAAATGAAAGTGTTATAGAATCACTGTCAATCTGCACAACATTAAAGAGTCTCAGCACGTTTCTGTCCTAAACTGCTTCATTATGATCCTGTATGAAATATTTACCTTTTTATCAGTGTTTTTTTTCTCCGTCTTTTATTTTGAGCATAACAAATATAATTTTACTGTTTCATTTTAAAGCCTCCATGAACTTTCAAGACAACAAAATGCTTTAATAATTGGATTTGTCAGCAATGAGGCAAACAGAAACATGATTGTTGTTGTTGCTGAGCATTCCTGTCCTTCCTGCAGTATGTTTAGAAGGTGTTTTCATTCATAATGTTGTTTTGAAACGGTCTCTTTTTAGGCTAACAACAGATGCAAGCATGCATTTCCCGAATTAGTTTAAAATGAAAGTGTTATAGAATCACTGTCAATCTGCACAACATTAATAGAGTCTCCGCACGTTTCTGTCCTAAACTGCTTCATTATGATCCTGTATGAAATATTTACCTTTTTATCAAAGCGTCTTTTATTTTGAGCATAACAAATATAATTTTACTGTTTCATTTTAAAGCCTCCATGAACTTTCAAGACAACAAAATGCTTTAATAATTGGATTTGTCAGCAATGAGGCAAACAGAAACATGATTGTTGTTGTTGCTGAGCATTCCTGTCCTTCCTGCAGTATGTTTAGAAGGTGTTTTCATTCATAATGTTGTTTTGAAACGGTCTCTTTTTAGGCTAACAACAGATGCAAGCATGCATTTCCCGAATTAGTTTCGAATGTCCGTCCTAGTTTGTCACAAACCATGACAAGCAAATTCCAACATAACGTATGATTAAGCCGCATGTGTTTTTGTGCTTCCTTCAGCACATAAATATGAGAGTTAGCGACATCAAGAATGTGCTCATGTTTAACGTTTTCTATTTGTGGCTCTTTGACAGATTGAAACCGCATGCCAGCAAATGAGCGCATCTGTTGAGTGTGTGTAAAAACGCTTGAGATAAACAGAACCCTTCGAAAACATGATCGTCGTTCTTACACAATGCTTTAATGCTATTAGATATCATGATGACTCAACTCTGAGGGATGCTTGCTTACTTGTCATCCAAAAACGTACGTGCTGTTTATTTGCATAACTTGCGTTCACGAACACTGGACAACCTATTTGACAAAGACAGACTGTCTTGCCAGGTTGAATGGAAGTGATTTTGGGAGATAAACAGCTCAAGTTGGAACAGATGTGAACTGTTTTACTCCTCAACAGGGTCAGAGATTTCAGGTCACTCATGTAGTCTTTACTGTCTTTGCTAGCTGGATTCAAATGATAACAGCTATATATAGTCATGATATGGTAACTAGAATACATCAGTGCTTGTGCTATAAATAATTATTAGTTATCACTTTGAACTGACTTGTAAAAATCACCTGTTTTTAGCTTTTTTTTTTTATAGAGTATTCTTGTTTTTATCATACAAAATGAAGTGTCAATCTTTTATTAATTAATTAATTAAATAATTTTCTAGTTAACGCAAACTCTGAGTACATATTATTTAATCTGAATCTTCTTTGCTGGTTGTGCTACACTTAAGGAACTTAATATTTGATTTTTTTATCATGAACAGATAAAATGATAAAATCTTTTTTTTTATTAAAATAAGTGATAATTTGTGCCATAAGTGCCAATAATTAAGTTGAGGTTTCCAAAGTTTAACAAAAAATTTGAATTGTCAGTCTTTTCTTTAAAAAAAAAATAATTATATATATATATATATATATATATATATACACATACTGTGTCACACTCAATATATATATTTATTTATTTTTCTGAGTACACATTATTTATTCTAAATCTTTGCTTATTTAAACTTTGTATCATTATTATAATAGTAATGCAATATTTTTTATAGTGATCATTAATGCCATAACTAGGTATAAATAGAATTAGGTAGAAGTTTCCAAAGTTTAATGTTTAACAAAAAAATTGAATTGTCATTATTTCCTCTTTTTTGTTTGTTTGTTTGTTACAATATTTTCTGGTTAATACAGCCCTTGAGTACATTTTATTTAATCAGAATCTTCTTTGCTCTTTTCATATTTGTTTTTCATCGTTTTATTTTCATTTCGTAACAAAATTTAATTTGAGTTTTCCAAACTTTAATGTTTAACAAAGATGTACATTGTATTTGTGTTCTTATCCATTTATGATGAGAATTTAACTGTTTTTATATGTTTCTTTAGGTGTGGCAATGCTCCACTGGATCATATTTCACTGAATCGGTTGTCTAGCATGAGAAAGAGATACAGGTAAGAGTTCTTTTTTTTCCCGAAGCAGTTTTTAAATTTAAAATTTTCACCCAATTCGGCAGTTATTCAACCCCAAACTATTAACCAAACATCCTCTAATTCAAAACAGAACTTATGCAGTACGTTACATTGCTAGTTCAAATTTTTTTGGCTTACACATGCAATCAAACCCATTAAAAACTAAACTAACAAAAAAGTACCATGGTATTACTCTGAGAACATGTTTTGTCAGGTAACCTAAAATCTGTTTGATGTGGTAACATACAAATTAACTAGTTTGATTTAAGTCAAAAAATATAATTTAATATGACTGAATGAACCTGAATACATCAGTCACACCAGCAACTTTTCACTTTTTTTTTTTTTTGAACATGGTATAATGGTAAGTCTTGAAACAATGAAAGTAGCAGCACTCAGTTGATTAAATAAACTCTTATCTGAACCACAATTTGTCTTGCGACACTTTTCGGTGTCAATTAGAACATTTGGCATTACGTGAACAACTTCTAGGAATTTAGCTTCCTTTAAGTAAATTCTTAGAATTTGTTCCTAAGAATGTAACGCCAATGTTCCTGTTCATTCCTCCTGTAATTTGCCCTTTGACCCTGATGTTTAACCCGCTGGCCTCCTCTCTGCGGCAGGCGTCTTGTTGGTTTGCATCAAACTTGCAGCGCTGTGTGTTTTGTGGGTTTTGACAGCTCTGGAATGCAGGAATCACTTCTTCCAGGAACATCTGAGAGAAAAGTACATTGCAGATGTCTAGTTGATAAATGGCATAGGTGTGTCAGGCGTTTGTACAAAAGTGTCGTACAGTTCACAAAACGAGGTGAGAGGGGCCAGTGTGGATGAGGGATATTGTTGATGCTAAATCCAAAACAAAAAATGTTGATTCTCATTACTATTTATAATGAAATGGTAGATGCTTTTATCCATAATGACTTGCATAAGTGCACTCAAGGAATATTCTTTATCATTACGTGTTTTCCCTGGGAATCAAACCCATGACCTGGTGTTTCTTGCACAGTTGAGCTCATGAACGAGATTTAAATAATAAATGGCATGACATAGCTAGAAGTTGGACCCGAAATCTGAAATAAACAAAAATAAATTAATTAACAACGTTTTTAGTATTAATGGATGGAACAAAAAAGTCTGATTCAGAGTCCATAATGTGCAAATTTGGTTTGCCCTCGCTTTTCTAATATCTCCTAAACTATTATTTTTAATGAATATTTTTGTTCATCATGTTTAATTACTTAAAGTCTGTACATTGTTTTCAGTGTTAAAAATACATTTCAATGTGTCAGTGCTACAATTCATTACATTTTGACATATAAAATGATTTACAATTCTGTTTGTTGGTGTTATTCACATAGAAATTGCATTACTTGCATGAAATATCTAAAACCTAAATAGAAATAAAAACTAAACTGAAACTAATATTTAGGTCACACTTTATTTTAATGTCCAGTTCTCACTATTAACTATGACTTTTGCCTCAATAAACTCCTAATTACTGCTTATTAATAGTTAGTAAGGTAGTTGTTAAGTTTATGTAGGATTAAGGGATCTAAAATATGGTCATGCAGAATAAGGCATTAATATGTGGTTTATAAGTACTAATAAACGGCCAATATGCTAGTAATATGCATGCTAGTAAACAACTAGTATATAGTGAGAATTGGAAATTAACTTTTATACAAAAGGATGCATTGAAACGATCAAAAAAATCATAGGAAAGACATTTATGATGTTACAAATTATTTGTATTTCAAATAAAAGCTCTTCTTTTGAACTTTGTTCATCAAAGAATCCTGAAGAAAAAAAACACACAAATATTAAATGGCAAATGGTTTTCAATATTTGATCATAATTAGAAATGTTTCATGAGCAGCAAATCAGCATATTAGTATGATTTCTGAAGGATCATGTGACACTGAAGACTGGAGTAATGATGCTGAAAATTCAGCTTTGCATCACAGAAATAAATTACATTTTAAAATCTATTCAAATACAAAACAGATATTTTAAGTAGTAATATTATTTAATAATTTACTGTATTTTTGATCAAATAAATGCGGCCTTGGTGAGCATAAGAACATAAAAACATAAAATCTTACCAACCCCAAACTTTTAAACAGCAGTGAATTGAAAATGGTATTGAAATACAAGCTTTAGGAAAGCAGAACCGCAATCATCTTGATGTGTGCAGATGGAGTCGTGTTGTTGTTGTGCTTCTGTGTTTTGTTTTGATGTGAAATGCTAAAGGGAACATTTTTGCTGAGGTTCGTGCCGGCTTTCCAAATCAGATCCTGCAGAACGTAATCCTCAAATGCCAACTTTAAAGTACCAAACATGAGTACCAGACATGTTTTGTTGGTTTCATTCTCTTTGTGTGTCTCTTTCGTTCACAGGAATGGTCTTGGCCCATCTAAGGAGGGGGAGGCGCAGTACTCTGTTGTGCACTGTACCGGCTACATCAAGGCCTGGCCGCCAGCAGGTACTTACACAAACACACTCAAACACAGTCAGTCCAAAGCCACTGAATCAGAGAGAAGCATACAAATATACAAACAAACAAATACTCAGAAGTGTACCAGGTTTGTTGAGTGAGTAACTAAAAGTTGATTTGAGGCTAGTATGTGGAAATATGATGAACAGATTTATTTGATAAACGCACATACAGTACGTAGCGAAGACATAATGGCAAAGCTCACCCATGCGTCTTGTGCTCGTTGATTCAGGACCTCGGGTTTCATTAAAACTTAATTAAAAAAAATCTTAATTTGTGTTTTGAAGACTAACCAAAGTGTTATGGGTTTGGAGCATCGTGAAGGTAATTAAAAGATGACAGTTTTCATTTTTGGGTGAATTATTCCTTTAAGTTTGCATTTAACATCAGCATGCAGTGATGCAAATGATTCAGTGAATCTTTTTTGGAACCAGTTCAACAAGTTCCACTTGTTAATATTAGTAAAAACATTTTTTACTCAATATCTGAGTACAAATGAGTAGTAGCAATATTATGAATGTGTTTTGCTTAAGTCCTCAACTCACAATCCGAAGCCTAATGGAACACATTGTTTGAAACATGTGTTTGAACTCCTTGCACTATCAGAACTCTGGAATTCGGTGTTAAATTGAGTCCTTCAGTCGGCAGAACTGTCTGGAGTTTTGGATGACTCCCATATGACACCGGCACGCTAGATCCCCCCCGGCCTGTGATTCCTATTAGCACAACAGCATGTGTGCAGTGAGAAAAGAAGAAATAGAATTGAGCAACCCTGAATTCAAAAATGTGAACTTTTAGCCTCATATCTTCGCTGGAGGTTGTCCAGGTATCCCCCAAGTGCATCTCCAACAAATGTGTGTGTCGTAAAAATTAATTACACATGCTGGACATCCTGTTTGTTGCATAGTGGCACAAAGTAAGGATAAAAATAACCCGCAACACTTGATTGTCAGCCATTATGGTGTCATATCGGAATGTGGTGATCTAAACAAAGACATCTCGAATCGTTTTCATCACACTGAATGGTAATCACTGCATTAACGTAGTTAGGAAGAGCTCTGGCCTCACCAGATGGCCCTGATATGCATTGTTGATCAGTTTCATAGCGTTTGCATAACAAACACAAGACTTGATGTGCTCTTTATTACTTTGATATGCGACCAAATGAATTCTGTCTGCTTGTATAATGTCAGTTTGTGCAAATTAAAGGCAGTAAATTAATTCAAACCATCGGTGCATCTGTCCATAGTATGCAGCCTGTTTGTAGAGAAGTTTTTTTTTCCTGAATGTGTCATTTATTCAGTGATATATATTCCGTTCCTGTTTATTTGTAGCACAGTCATTAGTTTTGCGAGCTAGTGTTCCCTGCGCCGCCATGCGCCGCTGATGAATTGAGTTGTATTTTACTCGAGGTGACAGTTTGCAGTGTGAATGTGGGAACAGACCATGAAATAATGACAATGAGACAATAAATTGACCATATGTCTCTCTGTATTTATATTGTACTGTATATATTTGCTGCATGCATAAAAAGCAAACATAAAGTGTGACAAGTGTAGAGTCTTATGAAGCGATTCTTTAAATTAATTGGTCTAAAAGACTCAAAAGTTACTGGTTTGAATCAGTTTAACCTTGAGAAGTCGGTTTGCAGTAGAGTGCAAGAGTTTTTCAGTGGCCTTGGTTCCAGTTGTGTTTTTCTTATTCATTTATAGAAAGTCTTTAAATAGTTATGAATCAAGGCAAAGTAGGAAGTGTGTCGATGAGAAATCATTAAAGTAATTAAAAAGAGATTCATGTTCCTGCTTAAACAAACTCCAGGATAGGAATCGCTCCTCCGCCCTGATTCCCATCTGCCGTGACTTCATGTCCCATTTACTCCACAGCACGACAGCATCCAGGAACAATAACCGCTTTGCTACTGGTTTTGGACAACTAAAATAAGTCATTATGCATGAACAAACTCCTGATGAGTCAAGGAGACGTGGACAAAAATATCAAGCAGATGCTATTAGTGGGATCGAAGAGACGTTTTTGCGCAAAGATTCCCAAACAGGTCCTTGTGTGCTGTTGCAACAGAGTATCTCATTAGAAAATTATGTAGGAATAAACATGTTAGTCATCAGGATCTCCACATGTTTTCAGTCTGCTGTTAGTGTTTGTTTGGACAAATGACTGTTCTTGTGACTTTTCCAGGCATGACCATCCCGGATGAAGACACAGAAGCAGGTCAAACCAGCAAATACTGCTTGGTTGCGATTGGAAGACTGCAGGTATGTGTGGACCTCTGACATATATGGCAACAAAAACATAGATTTTAGCAACCGCATGACAACATGCTTGTAACTCCCTAGAACACCATAGGAACCGTATAGTAACAATCAAGCAGCCAAGCGGAACACTATAACAGTTGTCAAGAACACCCTACCTACCACATAGTAACATTCTAACAACCAGAACACCCTAGCAACCGCATAGCAACATTCTAATAACTAGAACACTCTAGTAGCGCATAACAACATTCTAACAACTAGAACACCTTAGCAACCACAGAGCAACATTCTAGCAACTAGAACACCTTAGCAACCACAGAGCAACATTCTAACAACTAGAACACCCTAGTTAACTGCATGGCAACATTCTAACAACTAGAACACTCTAGTAAGCTCGTTACAACATTCTAAAAACTAGAACTCCCTAGTAACTGCATGGCAACATTCTAACAACTAAAACACCCTAGCAACCACAAAGCAACATTCTAAGAACTAGAACATCCAAGTAACCTCATGGCAACATTCTAATAACTAGAACATTCTAGCAACTGCATGGCAACATTCTAACATCTAGAACACCTTAGTAACTGCATGGCAACATTCTAACAACTAGACCATCCTAGCAAATGCATGGCAACATTCTAACAACTAGAACATCCTAGTAACCTCATGGCAGCATTCTAAAAACTAGAACACCCTAGCAACTGCATGGCAACATTCTAACAACTAGAACATCCTAATAACTTCATGGCAGCATTCTAAAAACTAGATGGCAATATTGTAACAACTAGAACATCCTAGTAACTGCATGGCAACATTCTAACAACTAGAAAACCGTAGCAACCACAGAGCAACAATCTAACAACTAGAACACCGTAGCAACCACAGAGCAACATTCTAACAACTAGAACACTCTAGTGAGCTCGTTACAACATTCTAAAAACTAGAACATCCTAGCAACCCCATAACAACATTCTAACAACTAGAACACCCTAGCAACCACAAAGCAACATTCTAACAACTAGACCATCCTAGCAACTGCATGGCAACATTCTAAAAACTAGAACATCCTAGTAACCTCATGGCAGCATTCTAAAAACTAGAACACCCTAGCAACTGCATGGCAACATTCTAACAAGTAGAACATCCTAGCAACCACAAAGCAACATTCTAACAACTAGACCATCTTAGCAACTGCATGGCAACATTCTAAAAACTAGAACATCCTAGTAACCTCATGGCAGCATTCTAAAAACTAGAACACCCTAGCAACTGCATGGCAACATTCTAACAACTAGAACATCCTAGTAATTTCATGGCAGCATTCTAAAAACTAGAATACCCTAGTAACCTCATGGCAACATTCTAACAACTAGAACACCCTAGTAACCGCATGGCAACATTCTAACAACCAGAACACCCTAGCAACCGCATGACAACATTTAAAAACTAGAACATCCTAGTAAACTCATGGCAACATTCTAAGAACTAGAACACCATAGCAACCGCATGGCAGTATTCTAACAAGAACACACTAGCAACCGCATGACAACATTCTAACAACCAGAACACCCTAACAACCGCATAGCAACAATCTAACAATTAAAACACCCTAGCAACCATATAGCAACAGGCTAGTAACCATCCAGAACACCCCAGCAACCACATAGCAACATATTTGTAAGCTCCCAAAACACGCTAGAAAACATAACTTGCTAAAATCACCCCTAAACTGCATAGCAACCACCTAGCAACAACCCACATCTCCAAGTGTTGTTGTACACATGCAGGCAGCAACATTGTATTGTTTCTTACTACAACTTCATAGATCAAGTTGAATTAAAGACAAATGCATCAGAGATCATTGATTCTCCCTTTGGAATATAGTATTTAATTTATATTGATGAGTTCTGATAAGTCTGGGATTTCAGAATGTATATAATACATAATCTGGACAGAAGATGTATTGGGATATGTTGAATCTGTCGTTTACCTAAGCTTATTTATATTTTTGTAACATAATATTTCTGGGAGCTTAATTCATCTTTCATTATAAAAAAGCACCATGTCAACTCACTTGTTATACTCAGGGTCACTGCAGAAAACTATTTCAACTTTGGAACTTTTGTATACTTAATGTTTTAAAATGTCTAATCCATGTCTTTTTGATATGTCTAGCATTTAAATGTGATTTTTTATGCAGTAAATACCTTCCCACATCTTAATGTGCATAGACAACTATAACTAATTCTTTCATAATCCTATGAATCCTATCCTACAAAACATGTGTCTGTTTGTTTGAATATCCTGATTTTGTAAGAATCCCTTTATCTTGTCTCTCAGGTGACCAGTTCTCCAGTTTCCATGGATATGAACGGACTCTCTGTGCCGACGGAATTCCTTTCCCGCCACAACTCAGATGGCATTATCACTTTCGTGGACCCTCGCTGCATCAACGTGATTGGCTACCAGCCTCAGGTCAGTTTCACTCAACATGCAACTTTATATTAAAGGTGCTGTATGTAATTTTTTTGACTGCACAGAAGCATAAAAATACCGTAATATGTTTGCAGATATTTAGGAAACTGCTAAGTTCACATACTTGTTTTTACAAAAAAACCATGCAACAGCCAGTTATTTTACTTTGAAATGTTTGTTCCGTGTCGGAATGTCTGTTTTTGTTTTGGTCTCTGTGATTCCGCCCACTGCCAATTTACCCAATAGTATTTTGAAACCCCGGGTTACCAGTTGGCAGAAAACACGAGTATTGCAGCCATGGAAACCATCAAACAAACTGGATCAGAGATCACAGATTCTACCCAACCTAAAAAGCCTCAGCATCCATCTAAAAAGCACTATAACAAGAGGCATCTCAATTACGTACAATTTAGGTCTCGTCGCCTTCCATTGACAACTGCGCTTGTTCCTTTTGCGTGTCCTCAATCTGGCAACCTGCGTGAGCGTCATGTCTTAGGAGGAGGGGGCGGGAGGAACAACTCTGTCCAATATTTTGAGTTTGGAATGCAGTACATACTTCAACCTCAATCACAGATTCATGACAAGTCAGACAAGTCAGGCTGTTTTCTGAATAATAGAGAATATTGAGGCTTATTTTTGAAATAGTCAACATTTTCTAATGATTATTCATTATGACCCTGATGCTGTCTGTGCTCTGTGTTTAAAAGTACAAAGAGTTTGTGCAAATCAAGTTCATATCAAATTCATATGACTCTTGTTCTTTTTATTGGATTTGCACAGGATCTTCTTGGCAAAGACATTCTGGAGTTCTGCCACCCAGAGGACCAGAGCCACCTGCGAGAGAGCTTCCAGCAGGTACACCAACAAAAACAAAACCAACAACCAGCGGTGATCCAGTAGGAAAGAAACATCATAAATGAGATCTCTCGATGTTCCCTTCAAGATAAAATGAGAGCTAATGGAGTCTCCTAGGGCTGGAATCACGAAACATTCTTAAGAATAATATTCTTCTATAAAATTTGTCTTGTATAAGAATCACCATATAATCCGATAACGCCAAAGCCATACTTTTCTTCTTAATAATAATAAAAAAGATGCTTTTAAGGAAATATTTGAGAGCTTGCCCTTAGGAACATTTTTACGAACTTCGAACAATTTATCTTAAGACATTTCTTAACTTCTTTAAGATTTTCATAAATCTAGCATCAAGACATTCGCTTTCGAAAAAATGTAATAAAGACAAAACACAAATGAATGCAACAGACAGGTTCTTCGAAAATAACTATTTAAAAATGCAGAGCATTTTTTCTAATGAAAAAGCAACGTCATGTAGTTCATGACGTGTGTTTCTCATTGAGTTTTAACTTTTTTCTGAAGAAGACATGAATCCAAGCCATGATTCTCCGATATGCTGAGAAAAACACATGCAAACACGATCTCACATGCATCTCCTAGTTTCAATAGATCTCAAACCATGCTCAGATTTGTCAAGACTGCATCATAAACCAGACATCTCAATATGAACTCATGATTTTTTCCCATGAGCAGTTGATCTTAGCCGCTGTAACGGGGCTGACGAGACGTGAGACGTGTGGATCCATCTGCAAGCTTTATTAAAGCTGACCACATTAATTTTATAGCTCAAGGATCACTGAATGTCAACTATATTTGAAGAGTTCATTTGCAAAAACCGATAACTCATTTTGTAAAAATTTTTTTTCAGAAATCACGTTTTTTTTTATTGCGCATTCCAAGTAATATCAATCAAACTGCAGTTGGGTTGTTTTGATTAAGTAATAATAACAAACAAATACAGGTAATTTACAAAATTAAAGTGAATTGAAAGTATGTTTTTTAACATATTAAAAGTTTGTTTTATAGCAAAAGTAGATAACTCCAACAGTCGTGTTTTGGCAAAAGCAGATAACTCCACATTTCATGTTTTAGAGTTTAAAAAAACACTCGTTTAATCTTTGTAATCTCCTCAGATGAAAATGTAGATGCCTGACAAACGTTGTTGTTGTTGTGATCATAAACTGTATGGATGTGATTACACGCAATACACAGAGCTGCTTTTATTTTCCTTTTTCGCCCTGAAGAAGATATCACAGGTTCATCAAGTTTGTCGAAATTATCCATTCTCGATCACTTTTAGTCAGCTTTGACGAAACTCCTCTCAGTTAGTACGTCTTTTCAAAGTGAAAGTAGCCTTGTCACCTGACCTGAATACAACGTGCTGATTCGCTAAAATTGATTTATCGGCTTCTGTTCAAAAACAACAAGGGCGCTTGTCGGCTTCTGCAGTAAAACATGAACTCGCGAAGCCTTGAAAGTGGACAAAACCGGCTTTTTTGACAAATGTGTTTAGGTTTCAGATCGCACTATATGTGGAGAATAATGCACGGCAGTCAGCTAATTTTTTTTTAAAGTGGCGTTTATCGGTTTTTGCAAATGACTCTTCATTTGTTTCTTCTCAGGAATTTTAGGAGAAACATCTAAGACAAGGTGAGAACTCGCTAGACTCCAGAGCTGTGAAAGAGCAAACTCTGAGCTCTGGGCTGACATTATGTGAAACATTGCTTGCTAGTAAAAACATATTCTTCTCGCCCCACGATCCTTTGCTTCCCCGCTCCAGTCAGCACTAGGAAGTGAACTTGAGTGCTGTTTGGTTAGTCATTCAGTACCAGTAGCTGAAAGTCTCCATCAGTTAATACGTGTTGATTGGCCACCGCTGAGAGTTTCTCTGAGATCGTCGAGTACCTTCTGAGAACATTGAAGAGTGGTTGAGTGGTCGCTTCCATAGTCTTCTGTTTGGATGCCATTTGAAGAGGTTTTCTCTGTTGCAGCTGTTGTTGTTTGTTTTTCTGTCTTTGTATCCCGCTGCCAATTAAAACGCAAGCTGGTGCTCTTCACAAGGTCTTTTTGATTTCCTCCTCTCGCTCTTCCTGTTGCATCACCTCTGTTCCTGCTCTTTACCTCATCTCTTTATCTTTGGTCTTTTTCACTTTTTCTTTTATCCTGCTCCTTATTTTCCTGACTTTCACTCTTTTCCAGCCCCTTTTCTTTATCCTTAACTTCCTATCTGGCATTTTGTATCTTTATTCTTTGTTATTAATGTTATTTTTGTGTGTCGTTCATGTTCTATATATATATATAGTTAGCTTTAATTTAGTTTTTTGTTCAGTATTAGTTCTAGTAATTTTAATACTAATTTTAATTTTAAAACTGAGTTTTTGTAAAAGACCAAAGATAAGGATACAGGATAAGGTAAAGAGCATCTCATTCTGTCTCCTTATCTTTGGTCTTCTACAAAAACTCAGTTTTTCTTTTATCCTGCTCTTTATTTCCCCAGCTTTTGGTCTTTTTGGCCCCTTTTTCTTTGTCTTCAACTTCCTGTCTGTGAGTTCACAGCTATCATCAGTATTCTCTTCACATCCTGATGTCCACATACATTTATGCCAACCGTGTGTGTGTGTGTGTTTGTGTGTTTGTGTGTGTGTGTGTGTGTGTGTGTGTGTGTGTTGGTATTCCACCTCAGGGGATAATATTGTGGGCACTTGAAGGGTGGGCGCAGTGTTTTTACTCCCTAGATGATTGTGCCCTCTATATTACGTGCTTCGCTTCTTAAAAGCCCCTCAAATCCTCCACCTCACTTCTCCTGGAAGGCCAAGGTTGAGTGGTCAGGTACGCTACAAAGAGATTTGTCAAAGTACTTTCACCTGTTTCTCTGCGTAGGTCTGTTGACGGCTGATAAAGACCCCTCTGGCTGACATCCAGAAAAGCCTTCAGATAACTGGATGTCTTCAAAACTCGAGACCACACACACACACGCGGCGGCGTCCGCAAACACACACCTGTTTCTGAGTCTTATCTGTGTCTTATCTTGTACTTTTGAAGCCAAGTAGAACAAAAGCCAACAATTTATGCGTAGCGAGACGGTGAAAGCGTGTTATTCTTGGCCTGTAGTTTCGATATTGAGTCTCGGCAGATGTCAGAGACTAGAACAATATACATTCACAGGGTTGCACGAAATAATTTGATGTTGCGGACTACTGAATTCTTGACAGAATCTTTACCGCGTGAAGATGAAGAGACCATTTGTCATAAAAGAATGGAAAACGAAAACCATAAAGAGATATAAATCTAAGATCCTGCCCTGATTTCACAATCCAGAATTCCCTGGCTTCCTAAAGTCAACTTAAATTATATACATATTACATAAATAAAATATAAATATTAGAAAAAAAACTTAAACTTAAAAAACCTAAACTTTGGCACATAACAGAAATAAATTAACTTGAGGTACTAGAATTACTAAAACTAAAGCTTAAATAAACTTTAAAGTTGCAATATAAATATTTAAGAATCCAAAAGCTAATAAAAATGACAAAAGCACATAAAACAAAATAAAAAAGATGAAATAAAAATAAGCTAATTCTATGTATTATTAAATACTATAATATTATAGAAATAATACTGAAATCTGAACTTTAAAGATCAGCTTTTTTTTTTGTTATCAGTCTCACAATGTAGATTGATATCTGTCATCAGTCAGTTGATCAGTTATTGGCTTTATAATCTAAAATAATGATCAGTATTGGCTATCGGCTCTATGGCCTAATCGAAGTCATTGAAAATTCTGTTTCTCAGAATTATATCAGATTATATGATTTGCATTGATGTTTCCCAATTATATTAAACTCTGTAGCATTTGTTTACTGCTTAACTATGTACACTTCTCAGTTTATTACTACTAAGCAGAAAAAAATATATATCCCATATCCGCTTTCCTCTCTCAAAGCAGAATATACATCCAAAAAAGTCAAGTTTCCCTTTTTCTTCTTTTAACTCACTATTTTTTTCTCGCTTGAAGTGTGGCCATCTGTGCTGTTTAAGAGAGCAGTTTTCATCAGGTTTTTTTTTAACTCTGAAGATCTTTCTCGTTGTCTTTCATGCTCTGTTGAGTGGAAGATTGTTTTCTCTGAACACAGCTTTTGTATCTAAAGCAATCTCTGTCCATATCCGCTTTCCTCTCTCAAAGCAGAATATACATCCAAAAAAGTAAAGTTTCCCTCTTTCTTCTAACTCACTATTTTTTTCTCGCTTGAAGTGTGGCCATCTGTGCTGTTTAAGAGAGCAGTTTTCATCAGGTTTTTTTTTAACTCTGAAGATCTTTCTCGTTGTCTTTCATGCTCTGTTGAGTGGAAGATTGTTTTCTCTGAACACAGCTTTTGTATCTAAAGCAATCTCTGTATTTGGATGGGCAAACATTACTTTAAGTGACAATAGAGGTGACTGTGGAGAGCATGTGGATGAAGTTCAGAGTCTGACTTTAGCTCAAAATGAGCCTGTCTTGTCACAAAAGTATGAAGATGACAAATTGAGATCTTGCTCCTCGTACTTATTTTTTTACATCGGCTACATGGAGTTCTGAAAGGGAAAAACCCTTATGTATCCTAGAAAAACCAATGATGGTAGATTTTCCACTGAGGTAAACGTTGTTAGTCATTGATGTTGTCTGAAATGCAGTGGGTTTGATTGTTTTCTGAATTGAATCACTCATGCATAAAGCATGTACTATTCCTCATCAGTGGTGGACGAAGTACACAAATCAAGTACTTGAGTAAAAGTATAGATACGTATAATAAAATATTACCTCATGTTCCTAATTTCTAAAGCCAATTTGTGTTCACATTTTGCACTTGACAAGCGTTAATTTTAGATCCTGGTGGGGGACTTTGATAATAGGTTTGGTATTTGCTGTAGGAACCGATTGGCTCATTCTTTCGCTGATTACAGTCATTGTTCACTCATGTCAAGCATTAAAATAAAGCCCCCAGTAGGGTTGCACCAGCCATTTGTATGTTCTTACTTTAAATAATAAAGTCCACGTTAGAGGCTCAGTAATTACTAGCTAGTTTGTACCTAACTCTTTTCTTAGCGTATTTGTCAAGTTAAGTCAGGTCACCTTTATTTATATAGCGCTTTATACAATACAGATAGTGCTTTACGGTGTCAAACAGGGAAATAGTTTGTCAATAATACAAGAGGACAGTAACAAACAGTCAATTTTTCAGTTAAAGTCAGTTCATTGATGATTCAGTGGTCATCATCAAGTTCAGCTATCTTCCAATAATGTCTGTGCAATCAAGTCCACAGTATTGCCAGAAATCAAGCATCCCCAACTAAGCAAGCCAAAAGCGACAGTGGCAAGGTTCGCACCATTAGTTATCTAAAAGGTCTTTTAAAAGTTCTTCGCAAAGTAACATGCAGTTGCGTAATGTGATGTTTGAATTTCTAAGATGTAAATGCATGTGATGTGAACTGATGTTCCCTGTCCTCCTGTGTTCTTCTGTGGTGTTTAGGTGGTCAAGCTGAAAGGGCAGGTTCTCTCGGTCATGTATCGGTTCCGGCTGAAGAACCGAGAGTGGATGCTCATCAGAACCAGCAGTTTCACCTTCCAGAACCCTTATTCAGACGAGATCGAGTACATCATCTGCACCAACACCAATGTCAAGTATGTCCAACCTTCTCATTTCATCTCTTTGAAGGCTGTTGGAATAGACTTGTTAAACTTTGTTGGGAATGCCTAATATCCTGACTGCTAATATAATGCCAAATGGTGTTGCACCAAAATGAATTTTCCGTTTCGGCCAAAACCGTTTTGGAGGGCCAAATTCATTGACTCTAGCAGAAGCGTAAAATGAGCATTTCTCTGATGGCACATATGGTGCACACAACGTGGATAAACTCCAACAGATGAACATGTCAGATGTGTGGTGCTAGTGCTAGATTAACAATATTGATTCCTTGTTTTTAAAAAGACGTCAATAAAACAGCTTGTAAACAATATGGCATGTAATGTTACATTTACCTCAGCAAAATCACATAAACATACATAAACTCATTATTCAGCTAGAAAAAAAACATTTTGTTAAACATGAACTGTTTTATCAATTTTTACTTAATATTAGTTGTCTTTATTTAAAGGGTTAGTTCACCCAAAAATGAAAATTCTGTCATTAATTACTCACCCTCGTGTTGTTTCAAACCCGTAAGACCTTCGTTCATCTTCGGAACACAATTTAAGATATTTTTGATTAAATCTGAGGGCTCTCTGATCCTCCCATAGACAGCAAGGTAACTCCCACATTCAAGGTCCAGAAAACTGTAAAGTTACGAAGCTACGAGAATACTTTTTTGTGGTATTCTCATTATTTTGACGAAAATGTGGAATAAAGTCGTTATTTTTGTTTTCTTTGTGCAAAAAAAGTATTCTCGTAGCTTCGTAAC